TTTCCTCCCTGGAATTAGGATTTGCCCTGGAGCTCTCGTTGCAAAGATTTGCAGGTGACCCAGGGTTAGATCTTCCCATAGCACTTAGCAAATTTGCTCTTTACATATATACTGCTTTTTTGCTGAGCTCCTGAGAGTTTGGTGGGTTTTTATTATTTTTTTTTTTAATAGAAAAACCCATCTACCAACAAATCATACAGTTATGATCTTTTTAAGGGCGGGCTTGGCACTCCAACGTTTATTTTAGGAGTTGTTTTTCACCTGGACAAAATGAGGGTTGGGTTTAAAGAGCCAAAGCTGACGTCGTGTTCTGGTGCCAAAAGCTTCACCTGTGCCCTGATGGAAAAGGGGAAGGAAATTCCAAATATTCTCCTGTCCACGGGGGCTTCACCACCATCCCACAATTGCTGTGCAATTCCAGCACGATCCTCGGATGTATTTTACAATTGATCACAAAATTGCAATCGCTGCTATTTCCTGCAAGAAATCAAAGCCTCAAACCAGCCAGAGTGACCCCTCTAATTTGTTCCCGATTTTCTAAACACCCTTCCCCATCCCCATCTGGGGATTTTGCAAATGGCAAACTTCAATCACTGTCAGCATACATGAAAGAGGAGAAAAAAAAAAAAAGAAGAAGAAAGAAAACGATTTCCAAATAAAAAAAAAAAAAAACCAGACAATTTACAACAACCTTAATATTAAATATATTCTTACAATTATATTATTCCTTTTCCCCGAGGTCTCGGAACAAATTTCTATAAAGAGATTATTTCATCCACCATTGAACTGCAGCCACTTGTCAGAGAAATCTCTTTTTACCAGAGTTCAGCAGCACAATTCAACAGAGTGGGCTGGAAAGCTCCACACGGTGGGAGGGATTGTGGTGACAATAATCACAATAATTCTGACTCCTCCCAGCAAGAAATTCTGCACCAGGGCACAGCCAGAACGCCCTGACATCGAATCCCTTGGGCAGCAGGAGTAGGGATAAAGGGAAAAAAATTTAAAAAAAAAATTAAAAATCCAAATTGCTGTTGAAAATCTTGGAATGATTGAAGTTGGGAAAGGTTTCCAAGATCACTGACCCCCAAATCGTGCCTGTGTTTGTTCCCAGCACCACAAAAAGTGGGAAAGGAGAACAAAGAAAGGTCACAGAGACACCAAACACACAAAATCCAAACCCCACCCCCCCCCAAAAAAAAAAAACCCCACCGGGATTGTGGTGGGATTCCAGGCTGGAGAACTTGGGGTGATCCCTCCTGGCTGAG